GTACTTCTAATGTTATACTTGAACACGTAAGTGGTTACATGAAAAGTCTGCAGAATGTGCCAGTTTTTTTTTGTCGGATTAATCGGCAGAATTGTTAGTTGCAGCCATATTTCCAAATAATTTGGAGATCTCTAATTGATGTTCACGTCCATAATTTAGGGTTTGGTTGATTTTAATAATAACTCTTTGAAACACATTTTTTATCCTTTGTTTTTTTCTGTCTCATCTGTCCCTTTTTTTTTTTTTGTTCCTCATAGCTACTTTCCTTTTGTCCTTGAGAATAATTGGAGTGGATGTGGTATTTTGTTTTTAGTTGTTTTTTTTGTTTTTTTTGTCAAGGCATTCTGAGTTTGCAGAAAAGCAGTCATATAAAATCAATCCATTGTGACTGCTGTTGTCTCCTCTCAGCTCAAGCTTTCCCCGTGGCGCGGTTAGTCTCCGGGTGCTCTGCTCATCTCGGGCGCCCCAGGTGATGAATGTGCTGCAGCGAGCACAGGCATATCTGCCGGTGGTGGGGACCACCATAGCGACGAAAAGGGCAGCACCCAGCGCCCGCCTGTCTCCATGGCGAACTATGAAATCGGCCTCCGGGGCTGCCGAACCCCTCCTCCCGACGCTCCTCCCCGTGGAAACGAGGCCCGGACCGACGTGGGATCAGCTGGTGTCGTGTCAGGCTGCGGAAACGCAGCCGCTAACCCCGAAGAGCTTTTGTCGCCGTTTGTCAAAGTCTGCAGCTCCTCGGGCGTCTCTCTCTGTTCACTTGAGCGCTGGCAGACGCTCTGAAAGTCACCGCCGTGCGAAGTGTTGTCGGGCTTTTGTTGTGTTTACTCCACGCTAAGTCGGTGGGAGTGAACTTTGAATCTGCACAGACAGTCAGAAGTTTAAAACGATGACAAAGACCACAACTCCTGACCCATTTTTCGTTCTCTTAACCGTTTCCACTGCTGCAATCTTCCGCTTCCTCGTCATTCCCGCTTTGATCCCATCTCCCTCTGCGACACGACTCCTTCCCACTATCTGTCCTCCCATCCCTGTTTTCCCCACGTCTGGCTTGCAGAGCTTTTGTGGGGGAATTGATTGGCAGACGGCTCAGATCGATGACTGAGAGCCCTTCTCATTTCCTCCCTGCCTCTCCCATTATTTCATCTTCTCTTTCTGACTCGGCCCTGTTCGCCTCGCTCCCTTTGGGATCCCCCTCGTCTCCCCGAGTTGCCCCCAAAGTGTGAGTGAGGGAGTGTAATTCAAAACCGAGAACTGAAACCACATCTTTTTTTTTTTTTGGCAATTTGGTGGAAAATATTGATGAGATAAGATGCGATGAGGTATCAGCGTGTCTCTGCTTTCTGTCCTGCTTTGACTCGGTTCCTTGTGTTTTTATCGATTTGGGGAGAAAATAATCATCAATTATGCAACACGTTTTTTTTGTTTTTTTTTTTTTAGTGACCTGTGGCTTCTTTGTCTGGCGAGTGAAAATTAAGATCACGGGTGCAAGACAGTTTAAATCTGATCTGTTTTATCTGGGATTCACATTGGATTCTTGATTTTTGCGTGTAGCTCAGGTCTGTCGGGCTGCCGGCTGTTCTGGATGTGAACAACGCGTGACAACAAATTGTAAACGATTACAACGACCTCGGTGCTCCAGAAAGATGCCCAAGGAAAAGACAAATGTTAATAAAACTAATAATTTAACTCACATTTACAACATTGTATTCTCTATAAAGTTTATCACATAAAGGAATAGTACGATCATTTAAATCACCTTACAAGACCGTTTACTCACATTTCTGTAAAATGCTTATTGTTTTGTACTTTTTAAAGTAGATTTTATATGCAAATTAACTCGAAGACATTTTTGAGACCATTGAAGTTGCCTTTGTCATCGAGTTAGCATAAAATGTGAATAATGCAAGGGGACAATCTCAGTGTGTGTGCGTGGTTATTTGTCCTTTTCGTCTCTTTGTTGCCTCTTGATGGACTAACTCCCTACCCAGGTGGCCTCCTGTAAAGATTTTAGTCTTTTAATCCTTGAGACATATTATTTAAATCAACTTTACTTGATAACCTACTATAATGGGCAAACATGTAAACCTCTTATCTGTATTTTTTAACATCAGTTTGTTGACAACTCTTAAACCTTTTTGTTTAAAGATCACGTTGCTAATTTCTTGAGTCTATGAAAGCAAAAGCTGTTTGTAGCTGTAAAGAGCAACTTTGAGATTTAGTTTAAATTATTTGCTTTCTCAGTTCTGTCTCCTTTGTAATTATGAACTTGTGCTATTTTACTTACTTTAATGTCAGTTTATGGTTAATATCTAATTTATTGTCTGCGCTGCGCTGTTGAAACCATCCCACACACTGTTGGAAAAGTTAACTTTCATTCAAAGTGCTAAAAGTGTATTTTAGATCAGGTACTTTTATCCCACACTTGTGACTTTACTTTTTGTTTTACCAGCGCATCATTTTTGACCCGTTTCCACCTCAGGTAAATTGTTTTAAAGAAAGAAAGTCTAATCTTAGTCCTTCATTGCTAGGGAACACGGCGCTGTAATGATGGCACTAAAGAAAACTAAAGGCAATTCATGTGAAATAAAAAAATAAAAACTTTAGTATTTTCTTGGGCTTCAGTAATTAATTTAATTTTCTCATTTTGTAAACCAGGATTCAAGTCTGTTCTTCAGTCGTTTTATGTCGCTGTGGCGCCAAAGCAGTCTAGATTTTTCGCGCTGCCCCCGAGCCTGTTTCAATAATCAATTAATCGTGTAAGAAATGAAAATAATTTCCGTTCAGATGATTAATATTTTTTAAAGGGCAGCTTTGTTTAGAGACTTCATAACTCATTTTATTTATGATTTCAGTTGTGTGCAGTATTTATTTCCTCTTTATTTATCATTTTTTCTGTTGGGATGTTTTATTTTGGATATTTTAAATGTTTTCCAGCACCGTGTTGTGTACAAAATTAAAGTTTATTAGTCTTTGAGCGTGTGAACTTGCATTATTATGCCATTTACCAATGTGTTTCTTGAAAGTAGTCTCAAATCAACAATAATATCACTTATTTTGTCCATCAGAATTTGTTATCGTGACTTATCTACCTGCACTAACGATTCCTTAACCTTCCTGCAGCGGTTTGTCAAAATAAATTGCTTTAGAAGTGTGATGGGAATAAATGGTCTCTGCCTGTGTGCTGCACACCAGCCTTTGGAGGCAACCTGCCATAAAATATTTTTGCAAATGAACCCTGAGCTGAAAGCGTTTCTCTCTCTGTCTGTCGCCTCCAGGTCTGAGCACAGAGGGAATCTACAGGGTCAGCGGCAACAAGGCGGAGATCGAGGGCATGCAGCGGCAGTTTGAGCAAGGTGGGCACTTCTCTCTCAGAGCCCGCCGCCGCGCTTTACAGCGCAAACAAGATGCGACAAAGATGCATGTGTGCCGGCTTCTGAAACAGGGGTCCAGCAAAGTCTGCCCGGTGGCCCGCATGTTTTAGTTCCCTCCCTGGTGGTAGTTTCTACCTCCTCGGCATGTCGATGTTCTGCAGAGGCCTGCTAACGAGCCATCATTTGATCCAGGTGTGTTGAACTGGGGAGGGAACTAAAACATGTGGGGAAACCGGGACTCGAGGACCGACTTCGGACAGCCCTGCTCTGAAAGAGCCCTGCTTCTCCCTTCACTGAGCAGGGTGTATTAATTGGCCTTCAGTTCCTCTCAGACTGCAGAGCCGCCCCTCATTAATCGTCTACCTGCTCCGGTGTGCATCATCGCACGTGTACAAGCACTCTGAATGTGCGTCTGTCTGCTGAGGGCATTTAATTGCCTCCAGATTGGTTTGGTTAATGAAGCATGTTGCTGTCGTGATGGATAGCAGACCAAGATGGCCTTTGCGTCTGTATCTGTGTGTGTGTGTGTGTGTGTGTGTGTGTGTCCTCGCTTGGCTGGGGTTAAATTCAACTCGGGTAACCAGAGTTGAAAACCTGCACTGAATCATTCGAAATCTTTCGCCCAATGGAGCGAGTCAATTAAAGGTGAAACCTTCAGCGCAGGCGATGCAGAGCTGCACTGAAGACGGCCCTTCATCGGCTCCCCGAAGGTGTTTCAAACTTTTCGCAGGTGGAAGTAGTTGCAGAAGACACTAAGTTTGAAAATGCAGCTCTTCTTTAAATGGATGCTGACTTGCATTGTTAAAAAAACGGATCATCGAACTACTCCTACTCCTCTGGTTCTGCTTGGTTACTTTGCTCTTTGCTTTAATATTCCCAAAAATGTATTTAAACTAAACTTCTTTCTTTTAATTAAAAACAAATCATCATAATATCAGGTTTATCTTAAAAATAATTTAAATTCAAGTTAACTACACCTGGATGTAAGTGCATTACTCATTACAGAAATTTGGTAACACTTGTAGCAAACCGTGAGCCTTTCCACGCTGATGCTATAGTGATTTAACCCTTTCATGCACAGCGGTCACTACAGTGGACAGCTGTCTAAAAGCCATTTTCTTTTGCTTCTTGTGGATTTTTATGTTATAAATGCACACAGACCACTGACATGGACACTAATGCATCATAAAATACACCATCATCTACTGGCCATCAGCTGCAAATGCAAGAAATTATTTTTGTTAAATCCAATATGGCCGACAGACAAAAAAAGCATGTCGACCGACCCGGTCCCTCCTTCTACTGTAGACGACTCTTGCAGGTAAAAAAAAATATATATATATATATATTGTGACATCAGATAACTCCTAAAGACCAATACTACTGATGTATTTTTCAAATAACAACTTGGTATTTGGAGAAAATTACAATTGATCACCTAAAAATAAAAATAATTAAAAAAAAATTTACAAATTTTTTTTCCTACCTTTTTTATGCCTTAAGAAAATCAAAAAAAAAAATTGAAAAAAAAATCCTGACACAAAGGATCATAATTCATGGCTGAAAGGGTTAAGTCATACAACAAACGGTTATTATTTATTTTATTAGTTGTTGTTTTTTAAATACACAAGTTTTGAATTCCAATTTAGACTTCCCTAACCCACAAAGGCTTAAAACTATGCATACGCAGCTACAGTCTCAATTTCTTGTAGCTCTGAAATTCTCCGTCTGTTAGTTGAACTTAAAAAAAAAAAAAAAAAAAATCACAACGTACTGCGACATTTCCTCGCAGAATGAGTTTTTCTACACTTTTGCCCAGAACTCTAACTTTCTTTCTGTGCCGTTTGCCTTCCACAGACCACAACCTGGACCTGGAGAAAGACTTGAGCATCAACACGGTTGCGGGAGCCATGAAGGCCTTTTTCTCAGAGCTGCCCGAGCCTCTGGTGCCCTACAGCATGCAGACGGAGCTGGTCGACGCCTTCAGTAAGTCCCCGAAGCTCGGAGACGGGGAAGGGCAGCTGTGTGGAGAACCGGATTCGGCACTCGTCTTTTACTTTTGTCCGAAATCCGTTTCCCTTTATTGTAACATTTCTCCAAAACTAACAAGCAAAAAAAAAAAAAAACCCTGCAATCCAAATCCATCCATGGGGAGAATTAGATTTACCACTCGCTCGTGAAAGCGGAGGAGAGAAGGAGGTGAAGGGGAGAATATTTAAAGCTCTTGAGAGGGACGGCGCGGTGGCGACGGAGGGATCTGAATGAAGTCATTAGAAAACGGTCGTGTGGTAGATGAATGAGGGTGCATTTTCGCTTTGTGTCCCTGTAATCTATCAGAGTGGAGATTTAAAGCGCAGCTTGGCCTTGCGTAGCGCCGGAGAGATTTACCCGCAGGCTGCATGGCTGCTGTCAGTCACAGAGCTCGACAGGCGCGCGCGTGTTTCCCACCGAGACCCTTCAGCCGTGACAGAGACCTGATAAACCTCCTGCCGACACAGAGCAGGTGAGGAGGAGGAGGAGGAGGAAGCAAAGCCTTCAGTCTGCAGCAGAAACATCACAAACAAGGTCTCACAAAGCCCAGGACCAGAGTTTATTTGAAACGACGCCAACACAAAGGGGCGGAGCGAAGGCGTCCGGGACCCAGAGTTGGGTTTTGTCGGATCTCGTCTCAGTGACATTGCTTTGAATAAGCCGGAGGAAGTTACGTTTTAATCTCTGGTGATGGACCTGCAGCAGGAGGGGGTTACCGTAGCTCTGTAAATTGATCCCGCTTTAAATCTGTTTTTGATCTGCGCTGACCTCATTGTGGGAATACAAACTCCGATTCTCTGCCTGTAAATCATGCCGGCCGACGCCGGAGAGGAACATCTGCTCGCTCTGCCTCGCTCGCTCGCCTTCACACGCAGGATGGGGACCGTGTGAGTCGGTGACGTCGTTTTCTCTGACTCATTCCCGCTCGTCGTCAGGCCGAGCACACCCTGTGTGTGTGTGTGTGTGTGTGTGTGTGTGTGCGTGTGTGTGAGAGAGGGAGGAAGAGAGCTTGTGTGTGATTTGCTGTAATCTGCAGAAGACTGTACTGGGTGGATGTAGGCCGTTTCTGCTCTGCAGTGTGTGTGGTCTTTTGTCTTGATTCTTTTTTTTTTCTTTTTCTTCCATTTGTAGTTTGAGGTCTCTTTCAATCGCAGAACCTTGAGGAACACATTTTATCCTCCATTAATGTTTTTATGTGGTTTTTTTTTTGTTTTGTTTTTTGCATTGTAACTAAACTTCGGTTTCATCTGTATTTTTCAGTGATAGACAAAATGTTCTTATCATCTGTACTCGGCCCCCTTTACTCTGACACCCCTTAAAGCCGAAGCATACAGCTTTTACAAACTGTATGTTAGATTTTTGCTAAAACTAATATGAGACGGATAACCTGTGAAAAAGATTGAGTTCTTTCCAATGCTCCTCTTCACATCTACAGAAATGCATCGCTCCCGGTGAGAAACAGCCAATCAGAGCCAGCAGGAGGGGCTTAGTGCTGTCAGTCCTGCTCATGTACAGGCTTCTAAATGTACTAGTGGCGGAGAAACAATTTACCGTTCCAGAAAAACTGTCATCGTTGGTGGCCATGCTAAGTATTATGAGCATTCCTGGTAGACTGTATTGGGAACTAGCTATAGTGTAGCAGAGAGGCGCATACACAAGTATAATTGACAGCGGTGAGACCCTCCTCTTGGCTCTGATTGGTTGTTTGAGACGAAAGCAGAGGATCCCAGTTCTTTCAGATTATCTGTCATCCCATACTGTCATGAAATAATTGCAGTTTTAACAATTCTGTAAAAAAAAACATCCTTCTTTTTACAAAAGTTTCTTACTGCAACTTTTAAAAGATAAAAATGTGCAGATAATACGAACGCCGAAGCCTACTGCTTGTGAATGTCCTTCCCTCCCTGTTCATCTCTCCAAATCCCCGGACACCTTCCTCGAATCTTTTCTCTCGGCCGCTCGCGCTCCTTCCCCTAACCTCTCGTCTCCCTGTGCCGATTATTCAGAGATCAACGACAGGGAGCAGCGCTTCCAGACGATGAAGGATGTCCTGCGACGTTTTCCCCGGGAGAATTACGAGGTCTTCAAATATGTCATCGGCCATTTGAACAAGTGAGTGATGGGCAGGGGCAGAGATGGCCTCTGGCAGCTGTGCTGACTCCACAGCTGGTCACCCAGTCAGGTGACCTGCAGGTGATGTCACTGCAGCAGCCGCACTGATTGCATTAGACAGCTGTTGTTTTCTGTTTTGTTTTGTCGTTTTTCACTTAGGCTGTGTGTTCTGCACGTCGGCACTGTTTCTGCGTATTCATTTCATTACAAGTATTCCTAAAACTCAACGCAAATTTCACAGAGAAGCGGTGCGGTCTTTACCGTAAGGCCTTTTATTCATTCGGCAATATTCAGATGTATGAAGACCTGAAACTAGCATTTTTGTGTGAACTATTTGACCTACAAACATTGTAATCCGCACAGTTGTCAGTTTACGACCAAGTTATGACACTGATATCATGATGTTATTGCTGCGTAATTTGAGTAATTATGGGTGTAGCCACTCTCCACACCAAAAGGCTCTCTCTATTGAAGTCAGCTTCAGCTCTATCTGTACAAACATTGCTTCTCATAGCCAACAAGATGTTATTTTCCATAATATTGTGACAAAGATAAGGCCCCTGATCTATATTTTTCAACTTTTGCTCTTTTCAAACCAGCTCATGTTGCACCGTAAACATGGGCTGGTGTGATGTGGGGGAAATAAGATACGTTTTGAAAGAAAACCGCATCTTCTGTTATTATATTAGTAGCTCGAAAATGTAAGAATCTTTTATTCTTTTCAATTATTACTGTCATTTTGATGTCACAGTTTATCTCAGTGGAAACTGGTGTGAAATAAATCATTTATAAATATTAATGAAGAAATCTCTCTTTTCTAAACTGGCTACAAGTTTCTATTAAAGCCCCAGTGAGCCAGCAGGCCACATTTAAATTGTCTTTTTCCATAAAACAGATGAGGGAGAAATGGAAAACCTAAACAAAAATGTGCAATAAACACCAGATTTAGAAGCAATTCTGTACTTAATGCGCTTATTGTGCTAATTATTGTTTGTGTGTGTTTAAGCTAACGTTGTAACGACTCAGGTTAGCTGCACACGTGGACTCCTAGCTTATTCTGTTTAATTTAACTCCGGCTCTGGACATTGGCATTGTTTTTTTTAATCGAACTTCAAGTTTGTAGCCGTAAACAAACTATTTCCTGCTTACTCCATCTTGAATTACGTCTTTTTTTTTTTTTTTTTATATATAATTGTGTATTGTTATTCGTTATGAAGCTGAATTGTCAAAGAATTGTCTCTTGCTTTTTCTAGATTTCGAACGGTGCAGTTCCAGATCGTCTTTATTCTTGAGAAAATCTTCATACGTTTCAGGCCGATTTGGTCACGCTTCATTCCGTCTTCATTTTTTTTTTTTTTTTTTTTTAATTTAATGATGTGTGTGTCCATTTCCCAGGGTGAGTCAGAACAGCAAGTCCAACCTGATGACGAGTGAGAACCTGTCCATCTGCTTCTGGCCCACGCTGATGAGACCCGACTTCACCACCATGGATGCTCTCACCGCCACCCGCACCTACCAGACAATCATCGAGAGCTTCATCCACCAGTGCGCGTTCTTCTTCTACAATCAGCCCCTGTCGAACGGCCTGACCGGCTCCCCCACCTCCACGCTGTCCGGGGGCAGCGGGACCTCGGCCTACTCCTGCATGGCCGGAGGCTACTCCTCCTCGTCCTCGTCGGCTCCGTCCCCCGCTGCCTACGTCCTCCCCGCCACGCCTCCCGTCATTCCTCACTACGGCCCTCCCCTCCACCAGCACCACCACCATCAAAACAGGTCCCCATCCCATTCCCCGCCACCCACTCCCCAGTCCACGATCCCGGCCCTGCTGCCGCCCTCGCTGCACCCGCATCACCCCCCGGCTGAGCAACACACGCTGTGAACCCAGGCATCGAGGGGACGGGGAAACAGGAAGGAAGTCAAAAGAGATGGCAGACGAAGACGGACAGAGCGTGAAGAATTCAGAGTAAAACTGGTCACAGTTTGAAGGATTGGGAGATGTAATCTAAGATGGAAGTCGAAGTTGGGAGAGTACGAGCGAGATGCAGTATGTACAGGGAAGAACAGACATGTTTGAGAGGTGGGGGGGAAGTCGGAGGCGTTTTTAGCCTCCACTGGTTTCAGAAGACGAAACAAATGAAGAGCCTCTGAACTGACTGAATGAACTTTTCTCTCTCTTTGACACTTTATCCCCTTTGTCTCCCTGTCTCACTTCACTAGTTCCACCCTCACTGCCTTTTTAAGCGAGCCTACACACTATCAGGGAGCGAGGAAAAGCTGTTCAAGGGACTCTGGCGGGGCTCGCTCCACAAACGCATGCACACAAACGACGGTAAAAATCCTCAATCCGGGAGCACCCGGGAACACACACGAGCCCACCTGCTGTAACGAAGCACCCCCAGAGGCTGCGGCTGCCACAAGCCGGAGGACTGCACATGTGTTGGTTTATTCCACCGTTGTGCAGAGGACTCACACAAGGAAACACGTGCTAAAGCTCACCCAGCAGAAAGTTCAGACCAAAGAGGCTGAGAAATTCCTATCTGTCAGCCGCTCACACACACACACACACCTTGAAAGAGAGGTAAAATTGGGTTTAATCATAAGAATATGCCAGGCAGAGTTAAAAAAAAGAAAGAAAAAAAAGTCCCAACCAACTGGATCTGCTGGTGAGGATTATAGGTGCTGTAGCGACCTTTGAATTCTCTGAAAAAAAGCTCCTCCCTGTTTCCTGGACTTCTTTATAAGATCTAAAGTTCAGCTCTATGTGAGATTTTCTGATTGGTCCAAATCCCAAAGTACCCGCAGCTTTGCCTTTTTATTCGGTTTCTTAACCTGAATTTCCCTCTGCTCAACGCTTAGCGGAAATAATTCCAGAGTTGAACCATTACCTGTCATGTTTCTTTTCACGCTGCGGTGGTTTTTACAACCGAGCCTCTGTTGCTGCAATTTTTCATAGCGATGACCTTAGTCAAAAGAAAAGAAAAAAAGAGAAGCACTTTTCTGAGGCACAGTTTCAATCCAGGGTCTGCCATGAAGTGACTGTGTTGTTTTGTCCACTTTTCTCTCTGGGAACACAACGCTGACATCTAGAGGAGAACTCGGGTATCACTGCCACATGAGCATGGGCGTAGCACCTTCCTTTTGCTGTGGCTTCTGTAGCATCTGGTGCAGTTGTCAAAAACCCTGTGAAATCAGCTTCAATAGCGTGAAAATCGATGTTCTAGTGTAGACTTAAACATAGACGACTTTAACTCAAACGCAAATAAATTAGAGATTGTATGAAATCCGAATGTGTAGCCGCAAAAATTCTGTTACGTTTCAGTTTCCTCCTTTGCTAAGAGCTCAAACCTTGACAAAGGAGCCCTGTTCTTTTTCAAACATCGCATTTTAGCAAAAAGGCAGACACAAGGCGAGATAAAAAATCAGAGCTTGAAGGTATTTTATGCTTGAAAATAATTGTTAGCCACTTCTCCGGGCCTCAGCAGTGGACACAGCTTAAGTCTCTGGAATTAAATATCTTATCTGGCGCTCTTGGTGGGCAAGAAATGAACTATAACCACTACACCAGGAGCTCAACCTCTCTGTGTGCCTCTGCATCCCCTGTCAGAAACAGACAGCAAAGAGAGAACAGACAGTCCATTCATCTGTGGAGCATCGCTGGATTCCTCAGGCCGAGCCCAACGTCACTGTAGAAACCGGCCGATGCAGCTGGAGGAGAATCGCTGAGATCCGATTGAAGAAGGTTTAGGGTGTCCCTGCGAGTGTGTGTGGTGGGGGGTGGGGTGCGGGGTTTTGGTCCCGTGAGCCAGACAAAACGACTACAACATATTTCTAGCTCAGCCAGTGAGTGAACAGTGAAGGAGATTTGATCGGCTTATTCGTTCACTTTGCGCGTGTGCGGGCGTGCGACACGAGATCCGGCCGAACGTAAACTGGAAGGGAGGCGGTTCTGCTTTTGGTCATTTTGCACCCACCGCCGCGTAACCCTGTTAGCTCGTCCCGATTACACGCACTGATCCACAGAAGAAGACCGAACGGGGTGAGCGGACATGGTGGGGGGGTGTGAATGGGATCTTTATCTGGGAGACGGAGGGATGGGGGGAAGAGGGGGCGACCACTGGTACTTGTGTGAGAACGCCGGCCGGTGTTGTTCCCTTTGTACATCAACCTGTTAATACTGAACTGACTGTGAGGGCAGCCAAAGACTGTGGAAGGGGGAAAGAAAAGGGGGAAGCAAAGTGACAATTTAATGAAGAGTTGCAAACTTTGGTTCAGTGATGAAATTTATTGTGGCTGCATTATTATTATTATTATTATTATTATTATTATTATTTTGTTTATATTGCAACAATTGTGACATATGTCTAAGTTAAATCCAGAAACAAGCAACACTATATTCAAATTGTTCACGTTAGGGTAATGGGGGCGGGGGATCTAACATTTTGCCCCTTTAGTCAGGGGGTTCATAGAAACACTTTCTTTTTCTTTTCATGTTTTAATTTTAAGATTTAAAGATAATAAAAAAAAAAAAAATTATTTTTTGCCTTATTTTATTTTATTTTTATTTTTTTGCAACTTCTTTGTGAGCAACAGAGACCAGCCCAGTATAATGCATGATTTCTTCCCAAGAGAAAGGAAGAGGGCTTCAACACTCTCACTGTTTAAGTGGTGGTGGCGATGATGATGATGATATAAAATAATAATAATTAAAAAAAAGAAATAAATGGGAGCTGAGGGAAGTTGATGGTGAGAGTGATTTAAAAAATATATATAAATGAAGTACTGTAAAGTGAAAAGATGACGTCACGCAAAAAAAAAAAAACACAACTGTCTTTATTTGCTGAGTATGGTAATTTGTCTCAGTGGGAATGGTGTATACAGCAAGGCCTTATGTGACCTGTATCATAGTTAATAAATCAAATCTTGTTAAACTCGTTGTTTCTTCTCTGTTTTTAACAGCTGGCATGTAAAACACACACACACACACACACACACACATCTTTATTGAGAAAATGTAAGCAATCTAGAACAGATCAAATTATTTTACATAAAATCAATGACAATTTTCCATTTTGTTGAAAACCTTTCCATTTAAATGTATTAAGCCAGAATTCAACTCGATTTTCAAACCTATTCGTCAAAGGTGAACTTAGAGCTGCAGGCTATTGAAGGTATATGTTGAGATAATGTTCTTATGGTTTATATTTCCGAAAGGTGGTGGGAAACATGGTATAACTTCTGATAATTAAGAGGACAGCGTCAGATTTATATGTAAATAACTGACTGAAAAGCTGATTGGGTTTTGTTTTTTTTCAGCTAGAGTATTTAAAGGGTGGGAGCAGAAAGAAAATCTGTAGCCACCTGAAACATCTCCACCGCTGGATTTAAAGGACTACTGAAGCAAAAACCACTTCTTCAACCTGCTCATTTCATGTATTTACTTTATTTAATGCTCCCAGTGAGAACCCATAATGGACAGGAAGAACATGCAGCTTCAGGATTTAAACCCAGAAACTTCTTACTGGAAGGCAACATTGCTAAGCAGCACCACAGTCACATGGTGATTAATCATGTCAACGACGTCAAACAGGAATTTAGATGCGAGCACAGGTCATCATTATCTCACTTGTTTCAGCCTCAGTCCCCCATGTTTCCATCTGTCAGGGATTGGTAAAGTCATATTTGGCTGAAACAAGATATGACTTTACTGAACTCCTTCTAATGGGAAGACTTTCTCACCAAGTCCCCCTAAAACTTAGATCTGCTTACAGCTAATCTTGCACCGTCCATGTGCAAAAATACCTGCTTTATTTTTTGTTTTGTTTCGCATACATTTTTTTTAACTGTTCTTCAGTGAAATTCTGTTTTGTAAATGTACCATTTGCATTCAGTACAATAGTTCTTTCAGCAGGTTTACAATGCTGAAAAGGTGATGTTAGAAACATAAAAAGAAACCTACTGCGCATTAAAAACAATGCGCATTACTGTCTTTGCTGTAGTTAGAAATATATTCACTCTATTCTGTGCTGAAACACAAATTCTTGTAATCAGTTTAAAGAGCAATAAACAAAGCAGTCGTGGCAAAAAGAACACACCTTTTCTCAATTTTAGGCATTTAACAAATAAATTCAGTCATTCATGAGTTTCGAACAATGAACAGTGAAGCTGGATTAACAATCCATCCGGAAAGTTTTTCCACGTTGTCATAATGGGAAATGTGTTGTATACCCAGCTTCAACAATGAACCTGGATATACATAGATGTGACTAACACAGCATTTCTCTAGAATATACAGAGCTTTTCCTTATTCCATTGTTACTTTAAAAATTATTTTCACCATAAAATTCACAAGTAATAAAAAAAAAAAAAAACATCCATCCAGCCACAGGGGGGAGCTGTTGTCTCTCTCCAGCGGTCATTGCGGAAGAGGCGGGTTGCTCACCGGACAGGCCAAAAAGTTCACCACAATCCATACAGCGATGCATGCACACTTACCTGTCCGAGGCATAAAACGTGAACAACAAAATGTAAAGCAATTACAAAATGCACAATACCCTTTTGTTATTTGTTGTAACATTTGATAAAAGGCTGAATTTAAGACATTTTTAAAACGTCTTTGCATCTTGCATTTAAAAACTGGCTTCTAATAACGCACTTTGAGAAGAGCTTGATCAAATGGGCATGAACAACATATTTAAAAAACAAGTTTTACTTTATAAGTTATGCTAGTTGCGTTGTTCTTTGTTCATGTGCTGATGAGGGACACCAAAGTTCCTCTGGGAGACCAGATGGGGTCACAGCAGCCCAAACCTGTGGGGAGGGTCCTGGGGGAGATCAGTCCATGCCATTTCAGGGTGATGTAAGGACGGTGGTCCTAAGAGGGTAGCGTGAAGGCCTCGCTGCCATTTCATGGTGCCCTCAGCTGACCTTTTCATAGAGTCAAACCAAAGGAAATCCATGTCTATGACCTTTGTGGAGCATCTCTTCATGCTGGCACTAGAAGAGGGGGTGGGGGGGAAATTAGCTTCTGATTGGGGATGAAAAGGGCAGGGCTCTTTACACACAGGAATGCAACCCTTGAACTCTAACCTTTAGAGCGACGTGGTGGAGAGAGCACAGCCTGGGGGTTGATCGCAAATCAAATATGGGGAATTTCAACAGTGTTTAGCAGGCCAGTCTGGTCATATTATGTCACAGTGCAACCACAAATTTTAATTGTATTGGCATCTTATAAGACTGAGTGGGGCATAAGTGATGAGGATTAAAATATGTTTTCCTACAAAATAATTTGTCGGTAAACATAATTTTCTACAATATATTTTTTTTTTTAGACACTGCAATCTAAAAACAGTTGGTTAATTCAGCTATTTGATACAGATCTGTTGGAGCAGCAATGCATCTAAAAGTTGCAGAGCAACAGGCCTTGACACCTGGGTTTCAAAACCCCTGGTTTACATAGAATAATATACTTTTTTTTTTTTAGACAATCAAAGGCAGAACAAGGGACAAGACTTGAAAATCGTTTTGCACTGAGCAGTTTTGAAAAGGATGATGAAGAGAAAAAAATGTCAGTCTCTACATGTGCAAAATTAGAGAAATATTCTTAAAGACCACCAACTGCAATTTAAGTGAAAAGTGGCTCTACAAAGTATTGCATCGTAGTTTCAGATTTTTATTTGTTAAAAAAGGTCAAACTTTTTAACATTTTTTTGACGTGCTACATTGTGTTGGTCTCTCACCGACAATCCCAACAAAAGAGGATGAAGTTTGCGATTGTAACGTGATAAAATGCAAACAAGAAAAGTTCTAACTAAACTGAGCCACACCCGTTTAATATTAAAGTTTTTATCTCAAGTAAAAACCTCTCGACTCTTTGCTTTTTTTTCTTCTTTTTTTTTCTTTTTTTTGCGTGTGCACCGACTCGCCACTAGGGGGCGGCCTTGTCTCGCGCTGATCCCCCCCCCTGTAGCCGTGCTGGATTCTCAGAGCATGGACCTAATTGATCGGGTCAAGTCTTGGATGTCAGGCCGGGCTGACACCTTAATCCGGTGCTCTCAGTGAGGGGAATACGAGAAAGCAGCTTCTGAAGACTTTCCCTCCCGATCCTGATCTCCGCTTCCCCTCTCAGTTTGAAGTTAGAGGAGGAAAGGGGGCTTGACTAAACTCCAGAGATAATGTGGGCGAGGAAGTACGGAAAGCTGCGGAATAAAGACAAAAGAACTTAATTGCGAGACGTGTCTGCTCAGTATTAAAAGTGTAATGTTTAGGTCTTAAAGTTCTGCGAAACAACAAAGAGGAGGAGGAAGAGGAAGAAGGAAGGGAACATATGTATAAGGAGGAGATAAAGAGAGAGAGAGAGAGAGAGAGAGAGAGAGAGACAGACAGACTGGTCTGATGATGAGTCGAGGCACGTATCTCCGCTCAACCGTGTCTCCTTTCTGCGCTCCAAGCTCGCAGCTGCGGCGGCGGGTATTGAATTCAGATGCGACCTGTCTCTCCGCTCCGCTCCGGCCGCTACAGGTGGAAATGCTCTTATCAATACAGACTGTCCGAGCCTGACTCTGGCCTGATCCGGCTCATTGATGATTTTAGGCGCTCCTGGCCTCCCCTCCCCTTCTCCGTCTCCTCCCAGAGGAGCCCTGATTGATTCATGTCTGGGTCACAGTGGTATTTTCATATTGATACCTCGATTGATGAAGGCGCTTCAGCGCCGAGCCTTTATTGACCCGCTGGAAAGTGACACGTTTCAAGCTGTTTGTGGGATGTAGTTTGGAATAATGGCTCACAGCGATAGGGATACTAGAATAACAGGACTGAGTTTAGATTTGTGTGCAAAAAAATGTGGGGAAAACCTTCATGAAATGTCTCTAGATTCTTGTACAGGCGTTGCTAGAAATAAAGTCCTCCAATAGTTGTGGTTCTGTCATGAACGATGCCCCAGGCTAAGCAATCTATGTCCCCTTTTCATTTTTACAACTAAAGATTTTACAGATCACCAACTAAATGGTTAATTTGTATATAGCTTATCTAGTCTGACTTCTCAAGGCGTTTACACTAGGTGTGATCAATCTGGTTCATTAACGATTGTATTGCCATACCGACTACTTCATTAACCGAACCGCATTCACGACACTCGCATATAAATACACCGATACACAGTTTGAGTTGAAGTGTCTTGCCCAAGGACACACCAACACGTAGTGGCAGAGTTAAATACCAAACCTACCAAAACCAAAGACAGCTACGCTCCCGTGAAATCTCTTCAACAAACACTTGTGATGTGATTTGAGGAATTAGTTTTTATTGGGCACACAACTAACGAACTAACATTAATGTAAGTGGTGAGACATTACCAGTTTCTGACTGACTCCTACCAGAGACTAAATACATAAATTGAACTAAATGGTCCTTTTTATTTTTCAAATCTTCCCTCCAATAAACTTGCTTAATTGCAGGTGATGTAGGTAAACACTACAAGTGGAATATTTTTTTAAAGGCTTGATGATGG